ATTTTACACCATACTCATGCAACCTACATTATAAAATTTTTAATGTTTTCGTAAAAACAATCAAGAAAAATAACATAATGGCTAAAAAGAAAGAATTTAATATCGAAAATTACATTTCGTTGCATGCAAAACCGCGTATCATGAGTAATTATTATTTTAATAAATGTACAATTACTTCCTTACACGGACTGACTAATCGCTTTAAAAGTTTCTTAATATTTATGGTTCCGTTCATTTAAAAAATTGAAATAACGGAGGCAGCTTAGCACGAATGTTGTCTACCCGGGTATCTCTGTCCCACTCGTGTTATTGGTTTAAAACACCTGTCATCATCATCATTATTATTATGTCATCTTTTAACTGTCCACTGCTGAACACAAGTCTCTCTCTTGGAGGGTAGCCAGTAGTTGCCACGCTTAGCAGGCGAATTGACAACCGCAGTTAGACTTTAGAGATGTTTTAAGCGGAACACTGCTGCCAATCCCTCGCCTTCCCTTAGTCGCCTCTTACGACATCCACGGAAAAGGAAGGGGTGATATATTCTATACCGGGACCACACGGCAAAGCAATAAAGCATTTGTGCTTGCATGTAAACAAACAAATAGGTCTCTAATGAATATATTTATTTATTTAAAGTTTAAAGTACAGTAAAATGCTCATGTCTATAGGCGACGGTTACCAGCTTGTCTAGCAGCCGTCAGCTTGTTTACCATTCTAAGTTGCATAAAAAAAAAAAAAATCTATGTACATTTGGCGGACTTAACACCGGAAGGTACTCTCTACCAGTCAACCATTGGGCAAACAGTAGAAATGCGTAGGCGGTGCATTATTGAATAGAGGAATATTACATATCACATGCAACTATATGTTTTCTCACTATACTGAGTTGACTGGAAGAGAACTCTTTCAGAAATTAGTCCACCTTTGCTCACCATATTTATAAATAAATTTATATATATAATCTATGTAATTTTTTAATGGATAATGGAATAGTAACTCCGGTTGCGCTAACTGTATACGCTTAAGAGGCATCAGTGAGAGATGATAGATGAAAATGAAAAGGCAGGTCAGTTAGCCCATGGAGATGAATACAACTGGAATTCAGTACAATGATTTCCAGGACTACGTAGGTCGACTTGACAGGCTATATTGCTAGCAATAAAACTGGTAGTCCGCATTACTAAAAATCCCCTCCCCCCACCCTATCTATATAATTTACAAGTAGAATAAAAAATCTATATCACAGCGCCATCTTGTTGAAACTAAAGTGTGTTTATAATATCAATAATACGGGGGAAGGGATTGTTAGTAATGCGGAGGTTAGTCGCTAGTGCTATCAATACGCCCTATCAGATCGACCTCCATGCGGTTCCTCCTGGAAACCATCGTGACTAATTTGTCGTTGAATTCATCACGATGAACTAACCTACCTTTGCAGCCTCACCAACCATCCCTCATTGGTAGCCCGCCAGTATATACCGATAGCGTAGGTGGGGTTATCATTCCATTATCATCTATTAAAAAAATATATCAATAATAGTCAATTGATATATTTATATTATACACAATTACCATTCTTTTTACACACAGTTAATATAATACGGAACCCTATATATTCCAATTATTACTTTATGGTTTTTTTATTAATGTGACACGATTTTATTTAGTTCAGTTACTTACTAGGAGTCTCCCATAATAATTACTTATGGAAATGTTACATGCATTTCCATAACTGTACACGACATAACAGAGTTATACAATAATATTAAGTTACATTACCGTGTGATCCTGCCGCAGAATAAGCCACCCCTTCCTTTACCGTGGATGTCGTAGGAGGCGACTAAGGGAACTCAATAGTTGAGAGATGAATCCCTCCCTCAGGCAAAACCTCGCTTATGAGTGAGGCTATGTTTAGCAGTGGGCAATTAACGGCTGATACAACAACATCTAGTCTGTCTGACTGTATGTTTATTTGCCACCTTCTTGATATAAAAAAAATATAGACCCAACCTGCTGTACTGGTTTAAACTGATGGGATAGAAAAAGGTGGTTATTTAATAATCGAAATAACACTGTCTTAACATTATAAGTATCACCAAACTATTTAGTAGTTTTTTTTTAATTAATGATAATGAATGATGACGATAAAAGTATTCAAATATATTAATCGATCCAATAATTTATTAATATAAAAATTTATCTTTTTCTCGTTACTTCGTACGTATGAAAATCCACAATCTATTTATCTATTATCAAGTTTTGACATCAAAAATAGGAAACCAACGTAATGACCACTTCTAGTTGATACCTCAATCAAGATAAAATATATATATTTTTTAAGTTAAACTTTCAGGAATACAACTGTAAAAACAGTACCCAATTTAGCGTATATATATATATATATATATATATATATATATATATATATATATATTTTTTTTTTTTGGTAGATTGATATTAATAATAAAATTGAATTATGAATAGAGGTACTGCTCATGTCTATAGGCGACGGTTACCACCATTTCCATCAGGTGGGCCGTCAGCTTGTTTGCCATTCTAAACGCATAAAAAAAATCTAGTTATTATTTTATTATATTAGTAATAGATAAAATGATAAGGTAATGATGAAGGATATACAGAACCTACTTATGATAAAGACAGTAAAATTAATGGATAGATATCAAAATGTGATTTACACTATCATTTATGTAATAGAAATTATCCTATTATAATTAGAAACACGTTTTTAGATCTCTTTCATATATAAAAGCATATTACTAAAATGCATATTGTTAGCATCTTTACATTTAGTATACCAATATTTTATTATATTTGTATCATAACTGTTGTCAAGTGCCACTGTTGCTGATTTGATTTAACTACAAAATGGTGATTTGTCATTTCCGGAATAATTATTTACCCGCCAAAACAGTCGACATAAAAACTAGAAGTAACAACGAACAGTGAACAGTTGTGGATTGAACATTGATCAGTAAAGACGTATAATTTGGTAAGTCGCTTTAATACAAATGTATTTTAATTGCAAAGTTGTGGAACTGTTAATACATGAGTTGGATTCCCCTATAATGACACGAGTTTTATTTCATAACCACCGACCTCTTAAAGGTCAGAAGTGGGATCACATCCAGGCAATATAGCCTTGATGATAAACTTAGCGCCCAATAATATATTGAAGCTATTGACAATTATAATAAATACTGTATTCTTTATTGAGTATAGTGTAAATTAAGCAACTTATTATTAAAAAAAAATTGAATTTAAAATTACTTTTTTTATATATGACTATTCAAATAAATGTACCCCACATTTTTTTTTCTTTTGTAAGTTAATCATTTATCTTTTATTGCAAAACTTTAATCTTTGTAAATTGTTATAAGTTTGTCACTTGCATGTGACATTATTAAATATCTAATTACTAATATTTTCCTAACGAACAGTTACTTTTGTAGTATTTTTACAATTTTCCAGTATAAAATGGGCAGAGAAAAGAGATGTAAGCGAACTAAACGTCATGATGTTTCTACGAGTTCTGAATCGAGTGGAAACAATTTTCGTTCGCGACTTCGTAGTTTTGGTTCAACAAGGGAGCAGCGAACACGGCGCAGCGAAAGACGTAGCCGGAGTCCTCGGCATCGCAGTCCTCAGTGTCAGTCGCATGAGACGAAGGGCAACAGCGAGCAAGTTTCATCGACACCAGTGCCACCAGTGAGTACGTCAACGAGTGGCTCTTTAGAGTTAATAACAATATTTAAAGAAGTGTTACAAAATATGAACTATAGTAATAATGATCGTTTTCCGGTTATTAATGTTATTCCTGAATTTGATCCAGCCAAACGAAATCAGACGATAGATACTTGGATTTTAAAAGTAAACGAATGTGCTGCTATTTATAATTGGACAGAGCGCCAAATTATTCACTATGCTTTACCTAAGTTAGTAGGGTTAGCCCAAAAATGGTATCAAGGTTTACCAACATTACTTTTTACTTGGGAGGAATGGCAAAATAAGTTACATTTAGCATTTCCTAGTGCTGAAAATTATGGGCAATTGTTAACGGAAATACTTGCTTGTAAGGCGCGATTTGACGAGTCCTTAGAGGAATATTACTATGAGAAAATGGGATTATTAAATAGGTGCAATATTACTGGGAAAAATGCAATTGACTGTATTCTATTAGGTATAGAGGATATGTCTATAAGAACTAGCGCTGAAGCAGCACAGTTTTCTGAACCCGATAAATTATTAGTTTTTCTTAGAAATGTTAAAGTTATTCGGAAAATTGAAAGAAATGGAGTACCCATACAATCAAGCAATTCCGAAATTAAACGCCCTAAAATAAAATATAATTTGTCCAATGTTGAGTCTAGAGTAAACTATAAATGTTATAATTGCGGAGAGGACGGGCATTCATATTTTAAATGTAAGCAACCAATCAAACGATGCGACGTATGTCGTAAAGTTGGGCATTTGGCTAGTGATGGCTGTGATAAGAAGGAAATTACCCCTAGTACTAATAAAACCGTCTTACGCATATCTTAAGAACAAGATAATGATTCCAAATATTTTAGTAATAATTTATTTATTAATAATTTTTCACAGTTAACAGTTTCATAGTCAAATTACGATGTTAAAAGAATCAGTTGCAAATAAATTAGTAAGTTCATAGGAAACGACGGAATTACCGATATTGAGGGGTTTCCGTAATTCCATAGTAAATTGTGTAGCTAAATGTAAAGTTAACATTGAGGTAGATTCTGTAACTGCTATAGTAGAATCACTTATTGTAACAGACCATTTCATACAAGTACCCCTCCTATTAGGCCAGACCGAACAAGAACCAGAGGGAGAAGTTGTACAAAAGTCGATTGCTTGGGTACCTCTGTCCCATTCGTGTTTTTACCGTGAAGTAGTGTTTGCATGGCTGTGTTTCGGTTTGAAGGGTGGGATATAGCAGTTCGGTTTGAAGGGTACAGAGGAATAACATCTGACTCCTCAGGAGTGGCAACGCATGGGGGGGGGTATCATGGGTGACACAGTATACTCGGTTATGTCCATGGTACTGCTCATGTCTATAGACGACGGTTACCACTTTCCATCAGGTGGACCGTCAGCTTGTTTGCCATTCTAAGTTGTATAAAAACAAAATGAGTAAAAATGAGTAATCTTAATGACACTACTCCAGTAGTTTATCGTCCATATCACTTATCTTATTCCGAACGAGAAATAGTCCGCAATATAGTACATGAATTAGAGAGCGCTGGAATTGTTAGATCGTCTACGTCCTCATATGCATCCCCAGTTCTGTTGGTTCAAAAGAAAATTGGTGACTATCGTCTATGTATTGATTTCTGTGCTTTGACCAAAAAGACTATAAAAGAACACTATCCATTGCCAAGGATAGATGATCAATTAGATAATTTATCAGATTTTAAATATTATACGGTTTTAGATATGGATGATGTCATCAGCCCATTAAAAATGGGTATAGCCGGTATCTTACTCCAAAGGGCCAACAAGGATTTACCTTTAATGCCGTATCCTATTATAGCAGACATACATCTCCTGAAGAAACCCGGTTTAGTTTTTATGATCTAGAGACCTTGGCCGTAGTAACCTCTTTGCAGAAATTTAGAGTATGTCTATTGGGCATCCCCTTTACTGTAGTTACCGACTGTTATTCTCTTCGTGCTATGTTCGAAAAACGCGATATATTACCTAGGGTTGCCAGATGGTAGAGTGCCATGCAGGGATATAATTTTAAGATCATTTATAAGCCAGGTACAACAATGTCCCATGTTGACGCCCTCAGCCGTAATCCTATTGAGGTCCCATTGAATTGTTCCGAAGTTCGAAATATTAGCACAGATTGGATAACTACCGTTTAACAAGGTGATTCAGAATTAATGCGTATTATAAACATATTAAATGATAACGAGACTAATAGTAATTTAGATTCAAAAAAAAAAAAAAAGAAAAAAAAATGGTGGTAAAGAAAAAAGGGGGTTACTTTGTAGGAAAACGGCTGACGGTGATCGTTGGGTTGTCCCTAAGGGGGTAAGATGGCAGATACTAAAAGCTAATCATGATGATATGGGTCACTTTGGATTTGATAAGACTTATGATAAAATACATCCATGGCTCGTTTAAACAGAACCGGGAATGATACAGATTCAAATAGTGCGGACGACAACTAGTCTGATCGTTTGATTGATTGCATATTGTTTAAATTAGTTTATATACATATATGTACATATTGTTAAGTTATATAACTATCAAAATAATGGTACTTATAGTGATTTAAGTAGTCAATTTATATATCAAATGTCATTGAAATTAGTTGTTTAATTGATTGAATTCTGTACACTATATATATAAATGAGATTATCAATTAATTTATATAAAGGATTAATATTTTTTGGAAGAGTTTAAGTATTGTTTAATTATATTAACCTGTATACTGGTTTTACCAAGTTTCAGAAGGACACGTTGAAGATATGTATGAGGCTTTAACGTGATATTGTTGTAGACATGAAGGGGCTACAACAATTAGTATAGTGATTTAATTAGATAATTAGAGACACATTGAAGACATGAAGGGGCTTCAATGTGATATTGTTGTAGACATGAAGGGGCTACAACAATTAGTATAGTGATTTAATTAGATAATTAGAGACACATTGAAGACATGAAGGGGCTTCAATGTGATATTGTTGTAGACATGAAGGGGCTACAACAATTAGTATAGTAATTTAATTAGATAAGTTAGAGACACATTGAAGACATGAAGGGGCTTCAATGTGATATTGTTGTAGACATGAAGGGGCTACAACAATTAGTATAGTGATTTAATTAGATAATTAGAGACACATTGAAGACATGAAGGGGCTTCAATGTGATATTGTTGTAGACATGAAGGGGCTACAACAATTAGTATAGTGATTTAATTAGATAATTAGAGATACATTGAAGACATGAAGGGGCTTCAATGTGATATTGTTGTAGACATGAAGGGGCTACAACAATTAGTATAGTAATTTAATTAGATAAGTTAGAGACACATTGAAGACATGAAGGGGCTACAACAATTAGCATAGTGATTTATTTAGATAAGTTAGAGACACATTGAAGACATGAAGGGGCTTCAATGTGATATTGTTGTAGACATGAAGGGGCTACAACAATTAGTATAGTGATTTAATTAGATAAGTTAGAGACACATTGAAGATATGAAGGGGCTTCAATGTGTTATTGTTGTAGACATGAAGGGGCTACAACAATTAGTATAGTAACTTAATTAGATAAGTTAGAGACACATTGAAGACATGAAGGGGCTTCAATGTGATATTGTTGTAGACATGAAGGGGCTACAACAATTAGTATAGTAATTTAATTAGATATTTCAGAGACACATTGAAGACATGAAGGGGCGTCAATGTGATATTGTTGTAGACATGAAGGGGCTACAACAATTAGTATCGTAATGTAATTAGATAATTTAGAGACACATTGAAGACATGAAGGAGCTACATATATCAATAATTCAAGACATATAATATGAATAGCATTATATAATATACTTTTTTTTTCCCTATTCTATTTCACGAGACGTGAAAATGTCAGGAAAGGCCGATTGTTAGCATCTTTACATTTAGTATACCAATATTTTATTATATTTGTATCATAACTGTTGTCAAGTGCCACTGTTGCTGATTTGATTTAACTACAAAATGGTGATTTGTCATTTCCGGAATAATTATTTACCCGCCAAAACAGTCGACATAAAAACTAGAAGTAACAACGAACAGTGAACAGTTGTGGATTGAACATTGATCAGTAAAGACGTATAATTTGGTAAGTCGCTTTAATACAAATGTATTTTAATTGCAAAGTTGTGGAACTGTTAATACATGAGTTGGATTCCCCTATAATGACACGAGTTTTATTTCATAACCACCGACCTCTTAAAATATGTTAAACATTAATCGTGCACTCCTGAGCATAGACCTCTCCTATAGACTGCCATAAACTATGGTATTGAGTCACCTTTATCTACCGATTCACTATAACATATTTGAGATCATCGCTCCATTTAGCGTTATTTAACAATTTCAATTCAATTCTTTACTTTATTTTTTAAATTCTTATATTTTTAACTAGTTTACCGGCGATTTTGTCCACGTCACGAGGATCAGAATTACTCTATCTCTTTCTTTATCTCAAAAAGTAAATGTATGTCAAATATTACTAGAATTGGTTGAGCTATTAAAAAGCTAAGAGCTAACTAACAAATAAACATTTCCACATTTATAATAATACGAAATATATTAGTTCCAGTACATACTTACAGCTTCCAAGAAAAGTTTTTTCAATTGATTTTATTTTCAACAATTCCCTCACGAGTTTGCATCGAGTAAATTTAACACTGTGACATTGAAACACACTTGAAACTATTAATAAAGTTAATACATACACTCTCATTTTACAAATATTTATTTAAACTTGAAAACACGACGGAAATATTGAATACCACTTATCTACATTTGAATTAACTTAAATTTAAAAATAAACAGAATACTTTATGTTGTAATCTTATAGCTTAAAACTATTAGTTTTAGCCTATATTTCTTTTTTATCTGATTACACTTTACTTTCAACTGTCCACTGACATAAATATTATGATTATTATAACAAAAATAAACTAAGACTGTATAGGTAGTTACATAAACAAATCGTTAAACACTTGTACCATCCAAAGGGTAACCGATAAGGAACTAAGATAGTGTTTATTGCTATTCTATCCAGACATGGTATTACAGTTAGATTTATTGTAAAGATATTATTTTGATAAGATAAATCGATTGCTTCTAACTAAACAAATACAACAAATTCTAGTAAATAATTATAAACGGTAGCTATACGAGTAGAATAGTTAAATATATTAGAATAATATAGATTAAAAATTATTTAAATGTACTTGTTTACATACACTTAATATGCCATCATTTTATGAATCTACCGCTGGATTTGAAATGTTGTTATTCAGAAAACCCTGCAAAAACTCAATAATCACTCTTCAAATCAATTTAAATACTTAATGTTGATTAACTGTGATTTTGATTGTTAGATTAGGTTATATTTGCTGTTAGTATTTATTTATAACTGGCTATCCACTTCAACTTTGCACGATACTCGTGCAAAGTTGCCTCAACTTTTTTATGTAGAAAATTTTTAACCCAAAATGTTTACTTTTATGAACGACATTTCGTCATAAACATTGTCCTAACAATTATAAATGCAACAAAAAAGAATTATCCAAATAGATGCAACCGTCCTGAAGTAATGGTAATAATAATATGGCATACATTCGGTAATTGATTTTTATTTATATAGATTATTTTCAATAATCAATCATAAGCAATAAATATGAACAAGCTAATCTCCAGTAGCAACCATTCAAGAGAACGACGAATAATTCAGCCATCATTTTGTTCAATCGAATTTTAGAGGGTACATACAAATATACAAATACATTTTTATTTGATAAATCAGTTACGAATATGCCCTTTTTTTTGCAGATAAATAATACCTACATACCTCTTTCTTTCTAGAGTCCTGTCATAATTATGATGTGGTGCAACGTCAAAACGTCGTCAATAAAGAAGCAGGTACGTAGATACTATTTAGTCACAAAAAAACAACACATTAACAATTACAATTGTAACAAAATTATGTAAAATGTTAGTGTTAAAAATTATCCTATTCCATATATAACATAGGAGTAAACTATTACGATTGTAAAAATTATCATCAAAATTGTAACAAAAATAATCAATTGTAATTCTTCTTATTTATTTTACACTTTATTGCCCCATTTATGAAATAGTAAATACATTTCATTGTAATGAAAAATAATACATAAAATAATACTAAACAATCTCTTCCAGACAACCTTTGGGTAGAGGACATAGAGAAAAGAAAAAAAAATTAAAATTAAAATTATTTTTTAAATTAGTTGATAACTTGAAGGAGCAAGTTACCCAATTCGACGCATATACATACATACATTTTTTTTACGTACGCCTAGGATACAGATAACTTTTTACCGGGTAATTCAATTTTGACGATTCTTTTTTTTTTATTGCCTAAAAGAACACATGCCTAAGTTATTCAAAGAAATTCCACTCATGAGAGTAGGAAAATAAGGGGTGAAATATTATACTGCACTTTTGTTTAAATAAGTTAAATAAAAAAAATGAATTTTTGTTTATGACTATAGTTGAATGCATGATTTGGTTATATGTGCTTTATTTTTGGAGCCTTTTCTTTTTATATCCTGTATTACTCTTACATTAATGACAATTTGTATTATAAACAAAACTTTGTCTGGGATTATTCAATTAGAATTATTTTGTGACCGTGTAACCGTAAAGCAGTTGTGTTTGCATGGCTGTGTTTCGGTTTGAAGGGTGGGATATGGCGTGAGTTTACAGGGTACAGAGGAATAACATCTGAGTCCACAGGAATGGCAACGCATGGGGGGTATCATGGGCGAAACAGTATACTCTGTTATGTCCATGGTACTGCTCATGTCTATAGGCGACGTTTACCACTTTCCATCAGGTGGGCCGTCAGCTTGTTTGCCATTCTAAGTTGTATAAAAAAAAGTTTCATTGTACTAACATTAGCATGTACGAGTATACGACTACTAACATTTATAAATTGACTACTATTATTATCAGTAGAAGTTCTACGACCTTCCATATTGTTCGTCAATCTCCTATCGTTATCCAATCCACGCACATGTTGCGAGAAGTGTTTTATTTCTAAACGATGCATCTTCAACCAAATTAATAGATCGTTGCTGGAAACCAAGTATTGATCGTTCGGCGCCCAAACTATAAATATAAGACTAATCGGCTAACCAGCGATGTGGACTTTCGCAAAATAATACCTAGTACAGTAAAACACTATTTATCTATATAAAATCACAATTTCTAAAGGAACAGGCAGCCTGCCTTTCCAATTTATTTTTTTAAAATATCGTTGCCAGTTTTCAAACGAAGATGCTTTTTTGTTATATTAAATTGTTTTTATTAAATTTAAATCTTGAACAAATAAATATTTCAATCTGTATTTGTTACTGTATTTCGCTTAAATTATTCACTTGTCATTGTATATTTTTATTTATGGTGCAATAAAGAGTTAAATAAATAATAAATATTTTTTGTTACATTTTTACCTTTTAGTTTCATTATACTGAAAGGTAAAAATGTTCCGTTCATTAAAATTTCACTATCATATCCACCCTTCACACTAAAATACAGACATGCAAACACGGCTGCTGTAAGATAGAAACACGAATGGGACAGAGTTACCCAATGTTTATTACAACTTAGTGTCTTAACAACTCAATCATCATTATTATATTGGCAAAAAAATAGTACTTGGGAGGGAACTATAAAGGTAACTTTTTATTCTTATCACACGATCGGAGTCGTGATTAAAACTAGTAATGTTATTTAATAAAATAGGAATATATGTAATGACTGTAGGAGATTAGGTCCGTCCATACACAGTTTTATTACTATTGCCTTATGATTAATGAGAGCTATAAAAGAAATAGTGTATAATTTCTTTTAGGTAAACACGAGTGGGCTATTAGTGGGGCGTGGGACCGGATATTAATAATGTGTCTCGCACAGAACCCTAACCGTCTTTACTTGTCATATATTCAGGCATGTAGCCCCGAAATTCATTGATATATATTGATATAGATAGTCAAAGATATCCAACCAGAAATTAAGAAGCGAAATTAGCGCACATTCAACCAAATTATGCACTTTTTTTGTGAACTATTTGTTGCTGTTGGACGCAGATGGCTTTTACAGCTTCCCCGGAAGAATATTTTTATTTAATTTATATAGTTTGTTATGAAACGTGCTAAATATTCTTGTACACTAAGAATACTAGCTTTTATCCGCGACTTCTTCCATGTTACCGGGATATGTTCACTAAATGGAATAGAAAGATGCTAATGTCCTTCCGCATTTCATATAACACCTGTATACTACAAAGTGATTGGTTACGTTAAAGCACCAAGAGGTAACAAACAAATAAACACATTCAAAATATTAGTACAGATAACGTCTCGACATATAATTATATATATTTACTATATAAAAATATGTAAAAAATGTAATCTATCTATTATATACATACTATGTAATTTAATATTTTCAGTAAATATTCATATTATACGTATGTTCTACTATGAGAACTTATTTTTAAAATTCCTTTGAATAGGAGGAAGTATTTTGTAATTGATATGGTGTTCCCCTGTGTTTATTTCATAGTAACTTTTGTGACGATTGAAGTATTTTTCTTAAATTTTATAAAAAAATAGTAACTACAATAAAAAAAATCATTGTTCTCAAATTACTATTAGTATTAATTTTAACTACTCGTGTAAGTTTTGTATAAAAATGTGCATCTTGAATTTATCTTCATATCGATGATTATATTAAAAATATTTTTATTCGCATAGAAGTATATGAAATGAAAAATTATAATAATTAGCGGTATTCTTATTTTAATTCTATGTAATACAGTATTTGTTATATGACGTACTCTGTAGTATATACTAAATTCTATTCTCTGTTGAACCACGTTACAATAATAACAAAATGTACAACAACAAACCTGTTAGACTGCAGACATGAAAACATGGTATAAATAATATAATGAATTCTTAAAATATATTAAAGCAGCATTAAACTAATGTCTATATTTTTTTCTAAAAATGAAGACTGCTTTTAATTAAATGTACAACATATACAACCACGCTTTAGAATCAACTTCCAGTAGCAGTATTTCCGAACCGATACGACAACATAATCTTCATGAAAAGAGCATATTCCTTTTTAAAAGACCGGCAACTCACCTACAATGCCTTTAATGTTGCGGGTATTCATGGGCGGCGGTAGTCACTTACCATCAGATGAGCCACATGCTTGTTTGCCCTCTGTGTTATAAAAAAAAAGGAATTACATGACAATTCGGGATGCTTATTTTCACAATGACTCAGTCTGCACAACGAAACGAAACGAGGGGTCTTCAAATTATAGTATAAAGTACAAGACAGTGAAAAAAGAGATTGACATTAATTGACAATAATATTGAGTTAAAAAGTCCTGTTGCTAGCAATTCATAGTATATCTGACGACTTCCATACGGTTCTCCTTGAAAACTATCCTAGTTAACACATTAAAGGCGGGGATCTTGACGAAAGTATGCTAGGTAACGCTCCGACCGCTTCGTTTCATTTTTCGTCTTAAAGCGAATGATATCTTGTGTAATCATAAAAAAATTCTGACTTAATAAAGTTAATTTAAATTCTTAAAATTAAATCGTAATTAACTAAATCATATTACTACGACTCCCGCCTTTAATGTGTTAATTCTTGTAGAATTCGTCACACTGAACTGACCTGCTTTTGTCCTCACCAATCATCTCTTGCTGGTGCCCACAACAGCGTATATAGATAGCGCAAGCAGGATTACTACCCTCCCAAAATTAATTGTATGATTTATGTTATAATGCATAATTTACAAATGTGTGCATTTTGTGTTTATTTTATGATTATAATTAATAAGTTACATCATGTAATGTAAGTTTTTATGTTGTGTAGAATTATAGATACTTGTATCTCTATTTTAAATGTTCGAAGGAGTGTATAATACTCGCCAAACGATTTATGGCTAATTGTAAATT